TTAAACCAGTCGTGTTCTCGTGATAAACGTGAGTCACTACAATGTCGAATGAATCACCTTGTGATTGGAACTCTGGTCCGACTTTTTAAAATGCTGATTGTCTCAGTGATTTGTTATCCAATGAACTCCACAATAAATTTGAGAAAGATATTTCAGAAGAACAAATCCTGACAAAATTCTTGATTATGTCAAGTCAGATGTTATTAGTTCTCAACATATTTTTGTGCAAACCTTGATCAATATGAGGCACGAACCTAAATACACTCCTGGTATTTCAATATCGAATATTTTATACCTTTACAATGCATTCACTTCTAGCAAATTCCGTAGTCAGTATGAGAAGTATGTTTTAAATGTGTCACATGCTTCTTATTGACACAATTAATTATAAGACGTATTCATCATTATTGCGACTGAAAGAATCGCAGCTTATTTTTTGTATGAGATGAAAAAAAGGCACCATATATAATAATGTCCATAAAAATCAAGATAGCGTAAACGGATTTTAAGCCTCAAGTAAATGTACAACATCCGATAGACAACTCACAGCTAATGACTTAAAAAGCTCCACCATCGTGGGATTCACAAACAAAGGAGGGTATATTTATATTATCGGCTTTGTATAAAAGGACACCACCTTCTTTCCTACATTTATGCCTGCCACTCCTTAGGTAGTGGCATCCGGGTAATTCTGGAGTAACGTCAAAGTCATGGACTAACCAAGTTTCTGTTACAGTTACAATAAGTGGCCTTACTTTGTCCACCAAGGCTCCTAGTATAATTTTAGCTCAGGTACCTCCTTTGATATCTGACATAGGTGAACTAGTTCATCCCTAACAGTGAAGACTGGAGGATTGTCGTGAAGCCATATTCTTATTTAAGATTAACTACCTCAAGGACATAAAGCGTTCTAGGTAGACCGGGAGTTTCAAACTCAGTGGGTTTCTGTGTTTCGGGGAGCAGACATCTCAAAGAAGGTAAGTTTTAGTTTCAAGCTGTTTCTCAACAGCGAGGAAATTCTTGGGAAAATATGCACTATCCGTCTCGGTCTGGGGGAAGGGGCCGCATTTAGATACATTGTCGCATAAATTCACACCAACTTCTAGAAGCCCGTTAAGCGTGAGCTTCTTCTATTCCGTCCACAACCATTTGAGCTCTTAAGGGTTTTATCTAAAACTCCCCAAAGTTCACCTTTATTTCCCCTTTTTTCCGGTTAGAAAGTAGATTTGCCAATGTAACTGGGTTTGGATGAAAATTTTTCGCGATCAATAATTATAACATCTGACTCGTTGTATTTAGCGCCATACTTTCGAATTCCTACTTGGTCTTCCTACTTCTTTGAGCTTTTAATAAACTTCGTAGCATTCTAGGCGAGGTTATAACTTGTAGATAAACTAGTGAAATTAAATGTAACACTTTGCATTTTGGTGTGGAATTTATTCGCCTGTATGGTTAGATTGTAATGCTAGTGCCGGTTTGTGATGCAAAACCATACTCTGATTCTTAACCCCAACTTCTAATCCGTAACCCTAACCCTAGTTTCCTACACTAATTTGTAACTCTGTTGACCTTAGTAAGTGAGCGAGTTTTCTCGAAGTTACTTTGGCGTCGCTCACAAATCGTCCATCAATTATAGCCTTACGTGAGGCTATAATATATGTCCTACGCCGCACTCATTCTCTAGTAAGCCACAAAGTGCACGTTGCAATAAAATTAACTACTGAAGAACTTAATCGAAAATCTTGAAAAGTGTACTGTAAAAGTCACTTAATTTTACGTTTTGAGAATAGAAGATCGGAGGTTATTTTTTGGTGTTAGACGACTCTGTGTTTGATCATCGTTGTCTCTGAAAGATTGCTGACATCCAGTGACAATACCATGTTAGTAATGCAGAGGTTCGGCATTGTGTGTTCGAACACAGCGACGATATTTCAATTGATATCATTATCTTAAAACATCGACTTCGGTGGCTTGAAGATGTTCTACGAACGTCGTTCGAAAAAATTCTACGTCGTGCATTATTTGCCGACGCTGGGGCTGGTTGGAAAAAACGAAGCGGTGATTATTGTTTGACATAGCGTCGCGGTATGAACGAAAGCTGTACAGGACTGGCTTCTGTTTATCCTTCACGACCCCCTGGTTGGGATCCTAGAAATGGTGCAACACAATGGCTAGAGACGTTATCAGACATGACTCAGAATAGAAGCCAGTGGCAATTCTGCTATAACTTTGTTTTACTTTCTTCATAAAAATGGACGTAACTCCTTTGAATGGAAGAATTTCTGGCTATACCTTTGCTAACTGATCTGCTTCTCTCATTATTATTATTTCACTATCATACACTAATTTCTGTTCGTTATCGTTCCCTTTTTTCTTATACACACCCTACATTCTCTACCTCTTCACATTCTCATTGTTATTGTATGGCGCATATGTATTTGGTGCTCCTTTGTACCGATATGTATGTGTTAAAAAAAAATAAGTACTCAAGTAAAGATTGCGAGATAACACCGTAGTACTTATAGTATTTTACATGCCATAGTAACCAATAATGTGTAAATTACATATTATTATAGCGATCCAAATATTAAAACAACCAGTGTCGTGACAATACCAAAAAGTCACAACAATACTGTCAATCCAAACACTATGAGCGACTATTATAATTATTGTGAAAACCTAGATACCAAGCGTTTTTATTCGGAAATCTCTACCAAAAAGATTCACTTATCTAACTGGACTATGCGGTTAACGTAGTCATATTTGGTGAAGACTTCCAAAACCCAGTGTTCCAGATGCCTTAAGCCATAATGTACGCTTGATCGGATCCGTTTCCCCCCCACTAAAATGTGCTTCACGATTGATTCACGTAAGGGCTTAGAATGATCGTAAGTAGTGAATCAATCGGACACGTTGACAACTTTACTTGTCTTCTAAGCTTTTTCCGCCCTCATTAGTTCGTCTGATGATATCTCAATGCACATTCAGAAGGCGAACTTTGGTCTTAAACTTGCGTCAATTGTGGAGTGACAAAATGGCTGTTCATCAGCTAAAAGGCAATTAAATTGATTAGAAATATACTATTTGGTTGTTGAATGTGGTCCGCGAAAGTAAAAAATCGTAGATGCTTTTAAAGCAATGATTGGGTATCATGGAACAGTTAAGTAGGCAACACTGTAACTAAGTATAGGATTCTAAGAAGATCGATTGATAAGGTTAGGACTCTGTATCAATCGAGAGGGTTGGACATGTATTAGGTATACTCAACCACTGCCTACCTAGACTCGATCTTTGTTGAAATAAGTTAGAAAAAGGCTAGGAGTGGATAAACAGGCGGATTTTCAGTTCATAAAGTCATTGATTGTTGGACCGAGTTGTATTGTCGGATGAATACTACATTGTTCAAGGTAATGAATGGCATAGCTCACAACTGGTTAGTAGTGAAGATCTAATCACTATTCATCTTACATTAAGCCTTAAGCTCTATCTATTTTCAAACCGTTTTCCCGATCATTGTTACTAAATCATACGGACTCGTTTTTTGTTCATTTTGTTACTTTCATCTTGCGTAACTAATGTGTACATTTATTTATTTTAACACACAGATATTGGTACAAGAAGGCACCAAATACATAGGCGCCACACAGATCTCATTTGATATGTGTGAGGGTTGTGATACTGCCCCGGGTGCCCAAACCGAAACAGGTGGTTTTCTTGGGAGGCCACTCCCCGAGCCTTCGACCTAAAGGTCTGATACACAAGGCAGTGGAGCATCGTAAGGAGATGCAGTCCCATGGTAGCCGGTGACCAACGATTGGTTCATACGCCATTTGTTCATTTAGGATGCTGGAGCCCATGTGTATCAGTGGTTTGGAATCAGGGTTTTCCAACTCCCCTAGGTGGACTCTCCATGACCACCAACCCGGTTAAAGCGCCGGACATTCGCTTTTTGCCCTCTCAATTTCGTAAACAACATCCCCGCCATGAGAAGGCAGTGAGTAGGACTTCCCTGGCAGAGGCTATATATGCATGGCCATATGAGAGCATTTCGAGAGGGAAAGCGGACTCCCCACTTTCAGCCGTACCAGGGCATTTGGGTGCGATGTGTATATCAGGCTGGGCGAAAACTAACTTACGCCAGGCTCTGTGTTGTTTATAATTTATTTGAAAATCCTGTCATCCACATCTTAAAAGCGTTATGTTGCTATTATTAATCTCAAATTTTCCTGGTAAGCGTTTTTTTAGCGAGTTAGTTTTCTACGAGATGGGGACGCTAACCCCACGCCCAACCCTCCTTCTTTACCCGAGCTTGGGACCGGCAGTAACCCTATAAGAGCTACGGGCGGAGTTAATCTCAAATTTTGCTACTTATATATATATATAGCTTCTATGTATTCTTTATTGGTTTTTACCTTTGTGCTGTCTTCATAGTGCTATGTCTGGTGTGAAAGCTGCAAGGCCAATTCTGTCTAGAAATCATGCAGAAGCTCGAAGGCGAGTCATTAGTTTATATCGTGCCTGGTACAGACAACTTCCTTATATACCAAAAGAATATGCTCATAGTAGCGTAGATCTTACAGTGCCTGTTTTGTATGCAAGATTAAGGGAAGAGTTCCGTAAAAATAAGGATATTAAAGATTTACGTATAATTGACTTGTTAATTCACAGAGTATGTTGAACTTCACTTTATCTAATCGTACTATTTTTAGTGGCAAAATGAACTAATTGAAGTGGCGCGTTTGTGGAAGTCTGATACGCATGTGATGGATTTCTTTAGAGAAGATCATCTCCCAGAAAAGCCGAAAGATTTCTTGGATAAATTTCTATCTGGAAAGCAGTAATATTTACGAAACTTTTGAATTGTAGAAGCTTTTGTTTATAGTGTGGTAGATAATTTTTATCTCAGAATTTTTCTACTATATGCTGAAAGTGATACGTGACAGCATGAAATAAGACGAAATATTTACCGAGGCTTTGAGCTAATACCAGTCTCAACCTGCTTATTGTAGATTTCCAGTAATAGATCTAAAACCATTCCCAGCTAATCTTTCAGCAGCGGGTGAGCATACATAAAATTGAAGATAATTACGTTTAGAAGGATCATTAAAGACTGTCAAACACATAAAACCGCCATAATAACCAAATCGAACTACGTTGACTGGAACGCTAACTATGTTATGCTCGCAAAAAACTGGTTGGGAAGTAGTAAACGGTAATTTCCATGCATGATTACACCGTAGTACAGTAGTAGTGTCAAGGTGTTCCTCATTTTCAACGATGTTATTTTGCCATGGACAGGTGTTAGAGAATATTGACCGTAAAAAATCGCAGCCACACTTCGAAGGAAACTTAGGGGGGGTATTCAGTGTAAATAATTCCGAGCGAGGAACAGTAGTATACCCTAACATGCTAGTAATACAAGTACTTAAGAATGTTGGTTGACGGGTTAACTGTAGTAAATCTTAAGAATCGAGTGTGATCCTGAAAATCTAGTTTGGGTCCAGTATGTAGAAAAGACAAGAACCGTCTTGCCATAATCACAACCGGATCGATCTGACTAACATTGGTTTTACGACCAGCGTTAATTACTTTTCAATGTCTGAGACACGAAGAGTAAAACCAAGAAATAGCTCCTGTTGTGTTGACCAGACTCATTTGCTTCGAGAGGACAAAAGCACTTACTGACCCCTTTAAGTGTAGCCAAACCTTTTAATCTCGAATTGTGTTTTGATTTGGCCAATCAATAAAGTTTAGAATTCCCACTTGGATGAATGTGGATTAGGTATATCATACTGCTGAAAGCTTCATATTCGAACACTTAAGAACGAACCAAACCAAATGGTGGATAATGTACAGTATGATTTTGCATGTCCTTCTCTACACAAGTTTTCTAAAGATATATTGTTGCTTACCTTTCAAGAGTCTAGGGACATTTCTCACAGACCAAACTTAAAGAGTCGTTTGGTGGTCACGTTTATGGCGATATCCACTATAACAATAAGATGTAAAGTTGCTGATCACCATATTCAACTTGGATGTCATGCCACCTCTGATGAGTTTACAGTTGACGCTATTTCAGTACGGATACAAACAATTTCTTTCTTGGTTCATGCTACCTTTAGGACAAGTGAGATATGTATTTTGGTTACTGTCAGGGGCAGTAGCAAGACAGTATTCAATGATCTAAAAGATTGGACTTCATAAAGAACGAAATATATACACCAGAACATTCATATTTTATTACACTGAGTACATATACAAAAGTAAACAGTATGGTACAAAACGGTTAAAAAAGAACTATTTTAAAAAATACACTAAAATATGTTGAACCGGGACTACAAAGTCATCCCAGTATAAAATAAACAATGCCTACTTAACAAAAGGAAACTGTATGATGTTATATAGATCTTCCACGGGATTATGATAAAATGGATCCCCGAGTAGAAGCTTATACAGTCCACATAAAAGCAGTCCAAATAAAATGACACAAAGACAGATCCGTAAAGATGGTATACAAGTGGATACGGCATCTGGAAAAATAATTAAAAAAGTGGTTAGTTTGTAATACATCAATTTAACTGGATAATCGCAAATAAATTATAGATCTTATTTGCAAATTGATAATTTACCTATAAAGTAAACGTCTACAAGTCATTATATGGTAAACATTATTCGTGGGCACATACTACAAGTAGTTACCGATTCCTTGACGTTTAAATGTCTTGGAGTGAGATACATGGTGTATACTCAGTCAAACATATAAACCCAGTTTTAGCGTACAACTTATCGTGGGAATTCATACTTGTTATAAGGATATTCAAGAAAAACACAGCGTTCCTTGTGTTTATTCAAAACCACAGAGCAGGAAGACCTACGGCTTACTTTGCTTGGGAGCTCAATTAACTATATAAACCAAGTCATACTGCCAATGCATGGATTCGTAGACAGCTAGTTTGACGCGACAACTTTGAAACCCAGATCGTGCAGATTATCTTAATAATTTGAAGAAGTTGGTTTGCCTCAATTGTACTATTTTTGAATTATCACCGTACAAGATTCATATTTAACCTCCAAAACCGATAGAGCACCTCATTAGGTGATGACCCTGCGTAAACAACTGATTCTACGCTGCTTATTTTCAAACAGAGTACGACTGTCATTTGGTAAAAATCGTTAAAGTATCATGTCAACCGAATCAACACTAAAATTCAGTATTATTCTATGTTGGTAAATAGTTAAGATGCAGAATTTAAAACGAAAAAATCTCAGTCGTAGTAATTAACAAAATAAAACCTGACCGTATCTGTCACATGGACGTGCCGAGCGCACTTGCCTATGGTGAAGTGTTGTTTGAATAAGTGAGACAAACTGCTAAATTAAGTCGATGAGATTGTGAACTTACCCAGGTGATTGATGTTTAATATGATCATACACCTGTGACGTCGAACGTTGAGAAATAATTAAGATACGGAACATATTTGAATCAAGCACACCGCGAAATTGGATTATTCCATAATATCGCCTACTGTTTCTTTGAAGTACAATAATAAATGTAGATTTCGTAGTTAAAACTCATTAAAGAATTTCGACAGAACAATGAGAAGACGGAGTTGATCTGAAAAATGTGATGTATTTGCGCTATGCATTTCGAATAATCTGGTCACACATATACTTGTCAGAGCATTTTTATATGAAAATTAATAAAGGTCATTAAAGAATGAAAATGACATTTCTGAACCTTCACATTTTTTGTTACACATCTATTTGTGGTCTAAACCTAACTCTGACTTTTACTTATCTTGTAAGTCTTGCCTGACTGACGGTTCAAAGTTTTTCCACCCAAATTGAGACACTATCACACTAGTGCCCAAATTTTCCCGGTTAAGTTAGAAAAACAACTTTTTTTTTACCATAACGGAATATAAACCTGGAGGTAAGGTTGATTTTGTTTAATCTTAGTTGACCACAGATACGTGCAAAAACTAAACACAAAAGACAACCAACTTACTCGTTAATTTAGAGAGGGAGGAAAAGCAACAATCGAGAATGACAGACATCAAACCAATGATGACATACAAAAAAGATTTTATAAGATTTTCCCTGATAATTCCTTTCGTGTTGTGAAACACCTTTTGTTTGTTGGGCGGTTCACGACATTTTGTTGATGATAACGATGGAAACCAAGCCAAATCATCAGCGTAGGGGTCATCTATTCCTGGTCGGTCTGGATGTATAGATCGACGACGATAACTTGGAAGTCGAGAAACACATTCTAGTATGGGAGATGAGTGGTTTTGTACTGGTAACCCATTCATAAAACTTGCAGATAGTTCTTTAGTAGACAAGGGTCTAAAGTAGACATTTGATAGAGATAAAAACAATATGGATGATATAGACACTAAGACTTCATGAGAAAAATGCACGTACAGGAAATGAGGACTTTTTGCTAATAATTATCAAGTATCTATAGCCTTTGTCACTGACCATTCAGAACAGCAGATTGATACTTGGACCACTAACAGGTACGAAATTCAATTTGGGCAGCCAGGTAGTATCACTACCCCTCGAAGCTGAGTACACAGAAGCAGTACTTGATAAGTTACATTTACCTCTAACGTACACTCCCAAAAGCAATCTCTATATTTTAATCATTTTAATAGAAAAGGCTTGAAACAAGGTGCTAAGATACGTGTAATAGAAAAATAAACGGAAAAGAGGAAGTTGTAATAGCCTTAAGGACAAAATAGCAACCGACATAGTTTAAACAAGAATACAACCAGGATAGATTTACTACATATTAGTGGTATATCTAAATGCTTAAGAAGAACACAATAGTAGAAAAAATAGCACAGGAGCATCGCCAGCTTTTAATGTGAATAATTTCTGGTAATTTTCAAGCTACTGGTAGTCATGATATACCGTCTGACAATAACTGGGTACAACTATTCTCTATTTCAAGATGGTGCGTCGAAAGATGAACGCGACTGCTTCCTCATTCGGTTCTAGAGTTACCAAATGTACGTTAGTATGGGAATTTTTGGGTGATGAGTCTCATTTATTCTCAAAGCTAGACTAATATTAGTTTTACTTGGCTGTCGCTACCTTGACGTGGTGGTCGGCTTTGTCTGTCGTAATGAACCAATCGAGTTATACTAACTGGAACAATCGTTTCTCAAGGTTCTACCATACCAGATAGGTTGGTTGGAGAGCGATAAGACTAAAAGCAGCAAACCCAAGGTCTGGAGGCGAAGTCGTACTGTTGACTGTGCAGGTGTGACGGCAGTAAGGTGTTTCCTTCAAACGACCAGCATGACAGCGATGCTGCCTTCCCACAAGGAGAGGTGGGGTTAGAAAAGGTCGACCCTAAAAATGCACATCTCGCCTTATCCCACCGACTTCTGTCTCCGGCGTTAACGTCTCAACAGGTACGGAGCTAACACAAAAATTACCCATCAAAAGGTCGTATGTGACCGACTTCAAAGCAGTTGTCCTTTGGGCACTGCGGTCACGCTCTCAGGTCACTAAGACCACCTCTAACCCAATTTCTTTCTTAGGTACCTCCAGAAGAACCCTTCCACGGTGTGGGCAACCGGGAAGTGATAACCACTCTCATACCTCTAACAGCACTCAGGACCAAAGTATTCATAATCAACGTCCCTCTTCAATTCCTATTATTCCTCCTACATCGACTTCAAACTCTAAACTTCTTATTTTGGCTTCCCCCTCAAGTGTCACCATAGCCAACGATTCTAGTGCTCAAAACACTGTCCCAGGTCTACTGAAACCACGCTCCAAACTACACATTGGAGCCTTCAATGTACGCACCCTATGTCAAGTCGGTCAACAGGCTTCCTTGGCTAAAACCTTAGAATCTCGTACCATTGATGTATGTTGTGTCTCCGAAACACGCATACAGGATTCCAGTGTGGTCATTTACTTGACCTCACCTCGGCAAAACGGAGAGCCAACGAGATACACCCGCCGTGTATCTGGTGACCCGATGGCCAGCTCTCGTGAACTGGCAGGAGTAGGGATAGCACTAAGCATGAGGGCGGAACAAGCACTGTTAGAGTGGATCCCCGTCAACAGTCGTCTATGTGCTGTTCGGCTAAACGGCTCCGTAAGAACTCAGAAGGATAGGGACACACGTCGTTGCCTTTTTGTCGTTTCTGCCTACGCTCCCACCGACTGCAGCTCAGATGAAATGAAAGATGAATTTTACAGAAAGCTATTTGAACTTTTTCAGAAAGCTAAACGTTCAGACATAGTACTCGTAGCAGGTGACTTTAATGCTCAGATAGGTAGCTTAAACCAAACAGAAAGGCATTTAGGTGGTTATTTTAGTATACCGACACAGTGAACAGATAATGGTGATCGTCTGCTGCAACTGTGCTCAGACAATCGTTTATTTTTAGCAGCCCCTGAATGCCCTGATACGGCCGAGAGTGGGGAGAGTCCGCTCTCCCTCTCGAAATACTCTCACACGGCCACGCGTATACAGCCTCTGCCAGGGAAGTCCTACTCATTGCCTTCTCGTGGCGGGGGTGTTGTTTACGAAAATGAGAGGACGGAAAGCGAATGTCCGGCGCTTTAACCGGATTCCAAATCAATGGTGCACATGGGCTCCAGTATCCTGCGGGAACGAATGGCGTATGAACCAATCGTTGGTCACCGGCTACCATGGGACTGCATCTCCTTACGATGCTCCACTGCCTTGTGGGTTAGACCTTTAGGTCAAAGGCTCGGGGGGTGGCCCCCTAAGAAAACCACCTGCTTCGGTTTGGGCACCCGGGCAGTATCACAGCCCACACACAAACGATGAACTCTATGTCTTTGGCAACTACTTTATCGCTCCGAAAAACAAAAACAATCAATCGATTCAAATAATTATCATTACTATTTTTGTCATTATTGATACTATTATTATTATTATTATTATTATTATTATTTCCCACATTATTCACCCTCTTTCATACTTATACAGCGGCTCGGCTTTGGTGGAAATTCGACTGTATCTAAACGTTCTCGAGTCACTGTCCGGTTGAAAGTTGTATGTTACCATCGAATATGAGTACTGAAGCAGTTTTTCTGAAACCACGTGCGCCATTCAAACTGGCTGCCTTCAACGTTCGCAGACTTATGCAGGTTGGTCAACAGATAGGGCTGGCTATGTCTTTGGAAAGTCTTAATATTGATGTTTGTTGTCTATCCGAGACCCGTATTCAAGACTCTAGCGAAGTACTACAAATTCGCTCTACATCTGTCACTTCAAAAAGCTTGTTTTACGTGCGCTTATCCGGGGACCCTGTGGCATCTTCGTCTGGTCTTGCTGGCGTTGGTGTCGCACTAAGCGCTAGAGCTGAGGCAGCACTAGTCGATTGGATCCCCATTAACAGTCGGTTATGTGCTGTTAGATTAGAAAGTTCCATCAAAGTGAGAAGAAATCGGCGTGAGAAACGATGTCTTTTCGTCATCTCCGCCTATGCCCCGACAGATTGCAGCCCGGATGCAATCAAGGATGAGTTTTACCACCAGTTATCAGTTCTTCTCCAGAAAGTGCGTTCGACAGATATTGTAGTACTAGCCGGAGACTTGAATGCTCAGGTCGGGCGTCTAGGCACAGAAGAGAGTCGTTTAGGTGGCCGATGGGGACTCGTTGGTCGCAGGTCAGATAACGGGGACCGTCTACTGCAACTTTGCACAGACCACAACCTGTTTCTGGCTAGCACTAACTTTCGGCACAGTCATCGCCGATGTGCCACCTGGCGTCCTCCCTCTGCATCTCAAGCCTGGACTCAGATTGATCACATCGCGATCAGCTACCGCTGGCGTGGTTGTGTACAAGACTGCCGCTCCTTTTGGAGTACCTATCTGGACTCTGACCATGCCTTGGTCTGCGCCAATCTTGCCTTACTTTTCAGTGGACAACGAAGTGAACGCCATCAACGGATTGATGTTAGCAAGCTGGTCGCAACTTCTGTTGCAAGTAAGTATCGAACCGAGCTAGCCTCTAGGCTAGCTACCACTCCAGCGAAAAGTATAGATGAGCATTGGTTGCAATTGCATGACGCCATGAAAATGGCGGGAACAGTCAGTTGTGGGTTTGCGAAACGTCCCGTTTTTAAGCACTGGGTTTCTTCTGGTTCCTTACAACTCATTGAAGCCCGTCGGTCTACTCCGGGTAACCGTGAGTTTGACCATAAACGAAGGATTTTACGTAAGGAAATCGGGCAAAGCTTGCGTAAGGACCGAGAAGCCTGGTGGTCGATGCGTGCTAATGAGCTGGAAGCAGCAGCTGCATCTGGTAATTACCGGAAGCTCTTCCAACTCATCCGAGCCACTGGCAGCAAGAAGTCTGGTGTGAGTGAAACAATCTGCGAGGATGATGGGATGCCAATCACTAACATCCATCGACGTCTTGGACGATGGGCAGAATTTTTCGAAGGGCAGTTCAACTGGCCTGCTGCTCCGGCAACATCGGTCAGACTGTCCTGCCCTCCATGGCCGGTGACGACTGATCCACCAAATGAGGAGGAAGTCCGCAAGGAACTCCAACTCTTGAAGCGTTACAAATCACCTGGCCCAGATGACTTACCTCCGGCTCTTTTTAAAGATGGTGGTGACTTTTTGACTAAGGAATTGACGACGTTGTTCACAAAGGTTTGGGAACTAGAGAGTGTGCCAACGTCATGGAATGAGTCGATAGTTGTCCCTATCTTTAAAAAGGGTTCACGTCGTTCCTGTAACAACTACCGGGGGATAAGTTTACTTCCGATTGCGTCCAAGCTATTGGCTTCCGTCATTCTTCGTAGGTTGTTCAAAACCCGAGAAAGATTGACTCGCGAGGAGCAGGCTGGGTTTCGTTCTGGTCGAGGATGTATTGATCATATCTTCACCCTCCGCCAAATGTTAGAACACCGCCATACTTTTCAAAGGCCAACAATCGTAGTGTTTCTTGACATCAGGGCTGCCTTCGATTCGTTGGATAGGACTGTTCTCTGGGATTGTCTATTGAAGAAGGGTGTGCCTGAGAAGTTTATTAACATCCTAAAAGCCCTGTATAAAAACACCTCAGGCAGAGTGAGGGCATACAACCACCTCTCTCCATTGTTCCATTCGAGCAGTGGGGTTAGGCAGGGTTGCCCAATCTCACCATTCCTCTTCAACTTTGCCATCGATGACATTCTGGAAACAGCTCTGATGAATGTAAGTAATGGCGGTGTCGATCTGTTGCCTGGAGAAAGACTTCTCGACCTTGAGTATGCGGACGATATTGTCTTACTGTGCGATAATGCCCAAGGCATGCAATCCGCACTTAATCAGTTGGCAATCAATGTCCGTAGGTATGG